TCCATCTTGATTTCCATAAGAGGAGGCACTAAAGTGGGTTGGATATAGGGAAAGGATACATTTTTTTTTGCTGCTCCCATCAGCTATATCTCACTGAAAGTACTACACCTTAGAAGTGACAATTAATTTGAATACCAAGCTTTGACCCTTCCCAAAATCTTCCATAATACAGCCTCATGTCATATTCCCGCTCTCTCCTGAGGATGGGGTCACAACTCCATGGGACCTCAGATTCAAAGTACTGATATATTAATTTCAAACGGACAGTGTTCTCTCCTGAGAGATCTTGGTAACTATTTTCCAAATAACAGTTGAGCTACAATTTTGTATTAGGCATTATTCTAGGCTTTTCATATTGATAAATCAGTAAAACAAACAAAATAACACCAATGATCTCTATCTTAATTATATTTGTATTTTAAAAGAGGAAGGCAGGTCACAATAGGTATAAAAATAAGTGATGTGTGCAGTACTTTAGAAGACAATGTACTCTATGAAAAGCATAATAGAACACTTCTGAATGAAGTATTGGGAAAGCCTATGTTTAGAGTGAGCAGAGCAGTTGACACTTGCCTTTCCTTTTTTTTTTTTTTGAAATGGAGTCTCAGCCTGTCGCGCAGGCTGGAGTGCAGTGGCATGATCTCGGATCACTGCAACCTCCGCCTCCCGGGTTCAAGCGATTCTCCCGTCTCATCCTTCAGAGTAGCGCGCCACCACGCCCAGCAAATTTTTGTATTTTTACGTGAGATGGTGTTTCACCATGTTGGCAAGGATGGTCTCGATTTCTTGACCTTGTGATCTGCCCACTTCGGTCTCCCAAAATGCTGGGATTACAGGCGTGAGCCACCGCGCTTGGCTGACACTTATATTTCTAAACAAATGGTAGAAATCTATTTTATTGTAATGCAATTATTTAGCAAAGTCTTGAAAGAACTGAAGGGATTAATATCCTTATTTGTGAAAAGATGGTTTCAGGCAGAGAGAGCAGCCAGTGTGAAGACCCTATGGTGACAGCGTGCTTGGTGTGATGAACAAAACCAAACAATGTGGCTGGGACAAGGTGAGTCGTAAAAGAGTTCAGAATGGTATGATAATGGAGAAGGAATGCTGGAACCTGGTCACACGGAATCCTAAATAACTCGAATTTGAATAAAATTTTGATTTCTCTGTTGAAAAATAGACTGAAAGACAGAAAAGACAGAATTAGGTTAGACGTATTAAGAAGGTATTAAATTTACTCAAGTGACTTTCGATGACAGCTTGACCCATATTGGAAATACTGCTGGCACTGAGAAGTGGCTTGAATCTGAATGTATTGTAAGGGTACAACCAGGAATATTTCTCAATGTATTGTATGTGGATTATGAGAAAAATAGGAGTTGTTAATGGTTTAAAGGCATTTGACCTAATCAACAGAAAGGTCTTCAACAGAAGACCTAATCACCCAAACAGAGATTTCAAGTAGACAGTTGAATATGTGAGTATGGTGTTCAAGAACACATATCTAGTCTCGAGAGATCTAGTTGGAAGACATTGATTTATAACTGATATCAAAGATGAGAAAACATTGAAATGAGTATAGTCAGAGAGGAGGGGAGACTCCAAGACTGAGAGGTGAGGGAGAAGAGGAAAGATTAAAACCTAGTTACATATGTATTTATCCAAAAATTGATATAGAGAAGATAACAAGAATATAAGACAAAGTTAAAAGTGTGTAAGATCAATGGATAGCAGTGCCATTAATGTGTGAAACTAATGCAGTCAACTCACTAGAATAGAGTAATTTCAAACACGAAAAAGTTTTGGTCAGAAAGTAGGATACATAAAATTAAAACAAAAACATATGCATCACTTTGTAATTTCCAAATTTTAAGGAAAACATGCCTTTTAAAATGAAGTGGAAATAATCTAAGAAATAAAATCTTCTAAATATGACTTGCATTCCTATTTTTCCTTTAAAATAATGAGAAAGCAGATTGATGGCAAGATGCTCTAAGATAATAAAAAATACATTATATTTTGTCTATGTAATTTATGTACTTGTCAAATGTTATTCCAAGGATGAAGTAGCCTATTTGAAGTTGCAAATTGACATCTGATGGATGACTTTCTACAGCAGCATTATTATGTTTTGAAAATCTGAGGTCAAAATACTTCACGATAATGAACAAAATAATAAAATTCATTTTCTCTGAATTCTTTATTCCTTAGCATAATAGATTGCTCAAATTCTGCTCTAATAAAATCTAGCAAAATGAACTGAAAATAGAAAGAATTAAAAATAGACATAATATTAAAATTTTGAATGTCAGTTATAAAGAAGATTCACATTTCAGTTTATGTGTTCATGCAGATGTGAAAATGAGATCTTTCATGTGTAATATGTATTATACAAATTATCTGTTCTATAACAAACATAATATTTTAGGTTAGATTTTATCAAATATATTATGATATTTATTATGGAATATATTTATCTATCATATTCATTTAGAATGTAACATTTATTCATATTATTATTATTTGGAGCAGGGTCTCAATATGTTTCCCATAACAGAGTTCAGTGGCATAATCATAGTTCACCATAACCTTGAACTCCAGGCTCAAATGATCCTCTGGCCTCAACCTCCAAAGTATCTGGAATTACAAGCACATGCCACTTCATCTGATCCTCCTGCCTTGATCTCCCAAAGTACTGGAGTTAAAGGCATAAACCACTGTGCCTGACTAAATGCAGTATTTATAATATACAAATAAAATATCAAGATCTATGTGTATAAGAAACTCTATTCAAAAGTAACAATACATGTGAAAATTGTCACATATAATTTTCCTGTATTTAGGAAAAATAATAAAACAAATAGCCACAATGGATAAACAAAATAAATTGAAAGTGTTATCTTCAAAATAATGTAATATTCTATGGTTTATTGATCCCAAATCGATAGCCTTCACCAAAGAATATAAAAACAAAAACCCCACTGAACTGTTTGTCATAAAGCTGTTAAAATCCTGATAGTAAAACTACAAAAGAACAGTGAAAAAATATTGAAAAATATTATTTATTAATATAATTTTAAAATTGTAAATCATACATATATAAGCAAAAATGCTAAAACACTTATCTTTGTGCTAGAGCGATATCAATCTACATTATTACTATGCATGCTCTTTAAAATGTGATTTTGAGCTCCTGTATTCAAAATGTGGAGTGTCTTCTCCCATCTCTTGAATCTGGAGTATGCTTGTGACTTACTTTTACTAAAAGAACACGGTGGAAATAATGTGCTAGTTCTGAATCCAGGACTTAAAAGCGTAGATTAGCATTCTAGGGGATGAGAGACAATTTGAAGTAGAGCTAAATCAGCCTGGTTGTACCAGCCAAACCTCACACATGTGAGAAGGCTCATGTAACATGCAACATGATCCGTATCTGACATGACCCATAAATGAACACAGATGCATGAATAAACTAAACTTAGCCAAGCTTAGATAGAAAAAAATAATAATAATTGAAGTAACCGATAGACTCATGGGCAATAAACAGAAATTCTTAAAATAGTTCATTTCTGTTATTTTGTTGTTGCTGTTTCATTATGATGAAATACATATAACATAAACGTAACCATTTTAATAATTTAAGTGTACAATTCAGTGCCATTAAGTAAACTAACATTGTTGTGCAACAGTAATTACCATTCATCAGAAGCTTTTTATCTTCTGAAACTGAATCTTTGTAGTTATTCAACAATATCTCCTCAATATTCCTTTCTGACAGCCTCTGGAAATCTCTATTCTATTATCTGTCCAAGAATTTCACCATTTTAGATACCTCATATAAGTTGAATTACATGCTATTTGTCCTTATGTTTCTGACTTATTTCACTTAGCATAATGTGTTTGAGATTTATTCCTGCAGTAGCATGTATAAAAATTTCATTCCTTTTAAGGCCAAATGATATTCCCTAGTATGTATGCACCTTACTTTGGCTACCTATTCATTGGTTGATGAACACAATGTGTTTCCATTTTTGGCTATTGTGAATAGTGATGCTATGAACATTGATGTACCAATATATGTTTGAGGTTTTGCTTTCAATTATTTTTGAAATATACTGAAAAACAAAATTTCTCAGTCATATGGTCATTCCATTTTTTTTTTTTTTGATAAATCAGAGTATTGTTTTCCACAGCATATACATTGTCATCAGCAACACACAGGCACTCGAATTTTTCTACATCCTAACCAACATTTGTTATTTCTTGTTTGTTGATTGATGGATTGAGATAACACATTATTATTGATGCTTTGAAATTTATTAGAATTTGGCCTACCATATGATCTAGTCCTGGAGATTTTTCCATGTGCACTTGAAAAAGTACATATTTTTTTCTCTTATTGGGTGGAGTGTTCTGTATGTCTGTTAGTTCCAATCACTTTATAGTATTGTTCAAGTCCTCTATTTCCTTATTGATTTTCTATCTTTTGTATCTTATTGTTCTATTCACTGTAGAAAGTGGAGTATTGGAGATTTCAACTATTATGGTAGGATCTTTTTTTTGTCGATTACGTCAAGTTTTGCTTCATAGATTTTACAGCTTTGACATTATGTACACATGTGTTTTATAATGATAAATCTTCTTAGTGATTATTTCAACCATTCCCATTTAGTGCAGCAAGATCAATAAGGTGATTTTTCAGTGCCTCTCTTCAATTTCGTGGCAGGAATAACATAGTCAAAGTAAGGAGACACGTGAAAATAGGGAAAAAAAGGAATAAAAATTGAGAAGCAAGAAAAATGCTGTCATTTACAGAAAATAAGAAGACTGATATAATTACTTGCCAAGGTTGTTCAATACTAGTAATATACATTCCTTGAAGAGTAGGAGTGACTGGGATCCAAATTGCTGGCAGAAGTGAGCTCTTCCTTTATGATAGGAGTAAAAAGACTACAATGAATGCAGATGTTACAGTATTTGAAATAAGAAGTTTTACTGCTCGACATGGACACCGGTATGATTGAAGGTGGATTAAATGTCACTCTCACCATCCGGCTGCTTATACATGGAAAGGAAGTTGGCAGTATCATCGGAAAGAAAGGAGAATCAGTTAAGAAGATGCGCGAGGAGAGTGGTGCACGTATCAACATCTCAGAAGGGAATTGTCCTGAGAGAATTATCACTGTGGCTGGACCCACTAATGCCATCTTCAAAGCCTTTGCTATGATCACTGACAAACTGGAAGAGGACATAAGCAGCTCTATGACCAATAGCACAGCTGCCAGTAGACCCCCGGTCACCCTGAGGCTGGTGGTCCCTGCAAGTCAGTGTGGCTCTCTCATCGGAAAATGTGGTTGCAAGATCAAGGAAATACGAGAGAGTACAGGGGCTCAGGTCCAGGTGGCAGGGGATATGCTACCCAACTCAACTGAGCAGGCCATCACTATTGCTGGCATTCCACAATCCATCATTGAGTGTGTCAAACAGATCTGCGTGGTCATGTTGGAGACTCTCTCCCATTCCCCCCCGAAAGGCGTGACCATCCCGTACCGGGCCATGCTGTCCAGCTCTCCGGTCATCTTTGCAGGTGGTCAGGACGGGTACAGCACAGGCAGCAACAGTGCGAGCTTTCCCCACACCACCCCGTCCATGTGCCTCAACCCTGACCTGGAGGGACTACCTCTAGAGTTGACCAAGCTGCACCAGTTGGCAATGCAACAGTCTCATTTTCCCATGACGCATGGCAACACTGGATTCAGTGGCATTGAATCCAGCTCTCCAGAGGTGAAAGGCTATTGGGCAGGTTTGGATGCATCTGCTCAGACTACTTCTCATGAACTCACCATTCCAAATGATTTGATTGGCTGCATAATCGGGCGTCAAGGCGCCAAAATCAATGAGATCCGTCAGACGTCTGGGGCGCAGATCAAAATTGCGAACCCAGTGGAAGGATCTACTGATAGGAAGGTTACCATCACTGGATCTGCTGCCAGCATTAGCCTGGCTCAATATCTAATCAATGTCAGGCTTTCTTCGGAGACGGGTGGCATGGGGAGCAGTTAGAACAATGCAGATTCATCCATAATCGCTTTTTGCTGTTCACTTCCACCCATGATCCATCTGTATAGTTTCTGAACAGTCAGCGATTCCAGGTTTTAAATAGTTTGTAAATTTTCAGTTTCTACACACTTTATCATCCACTCGTGATTTTTTAATTAAAGCGTTTTAATTCCTTTCTCTGTTCAGCTGTTGATGCTGAGATCCATATTTAGTTTCATAGGCTTCTCCCTGGG